TTCTTAGTAACACTAAGAATATTCCAATTCAGAATTTCTGGAACTGATATTCTGTAGTTACAACTCATTCATCTCCTCCGGAACTGACAGTTCAACAAATGTGAGCCAGAATTATGGGAGGAGGACAGTAATTGGATTTTCACGTTCTTCTATCAGTTGACCTCTTCTTGAATTCACAGCTATTCATGAAGTAGGTTCCAGCCTTTAGGTGGTTGGAAATAAATTATTTTTATGTATGGCTAAGTTCGGGTTTCAGAAAGTCTAATACCATTGCAAAATATTATGTGTACATCTTCTTGTCTCCAAAGGATCAATCCCCATCAGCCAGAGTTTTCCTGCAGTCATAAACAATGCTCTTCACTATCCCTTGCTAACTTTACAATATGACCTAAATATGTCCTGACCTAAACACCACATGACTTTTCTCAAAAATCTTTTTTTTTCTGTAGACTCACTGTTGAATGATTATGTTTCATCAAATTGATGTCAACCCTTAACAACCACATAATAGATTTTCTCCATGATAACTTGTCCCTAACCTGATCTTTCAGGTCTTCTAACCATGTACCCATTGCCACTGAAACTGAGTCCATCCACCTTACGGCTGGTCATCACTGTCCTGCTTCAGGTTTTAAATACTGACTTGCACACAGTCGCTGTGGTAGCTTATGGTTTACTCAAGGTCAAGAGATAACGGTCAAAACATGCAAACCAAAAACAGTCTCAGACGCTTGCCTGAATGATTTGCTTTTTAACAGGAATGTGCAAAAGAATAGTCTAAAATCAGTCCAAGGTTCAGAGAGCTGGGTCAGGTTTGTCAGCCAGAATTTCACAGGCAGAATGCACACACAAGCATCATACAAGAGCTGTCAGATGGTTGCTTCCAGTAAAGGGAACATGGGTCAGGGCTGCCTCTTAAATCAGGCTGCAGCTAGTTGTCACTAATCAAGAGATTGATACCCTTGCTTGGCAAGGAGGCTCGTAGACCATCTCTGCTTTGCTCTCTTCTCTACCTGTTGGGTGTGAAGGCTGGGAGGCCTTTTGTCATCCTCATCTGACTTCTTCAGCTGCTCAAGCGGTGCCCGGGTTTGATCAGCCTCATGTGATTCCTGGCTTTGTCTCTCCTGAGGCTGACATTCCACAGGCTCAGTTGCAGCAGTTTCTTCAGGATCCAATTCAGACTCAGAATCTGAGTCCTGAACCCGGGCCATGGCAATCATTGTCAGGCCCAGCCCAAGAACAACAGGAGACAGTCCAACCAAGTTCAGTCTCTTTATTGTTTACACCATATAGACAAAATCTTCCCAGACTAAATCTGTACTACTGCGACTAGTGGATATACCCTAGGAGATTCTAGGGAGTGGCTATTCTAAACCTCTTACACTTCCCACACTCCAGCTCCAGACTGTGTTGTCTCTTGTCTCTCTGCCCTTCTTGGAATGTGCCCCTTCCTTCCTGAGAACCTTGCTCTCTTCTGCAATCCACCACATCACCCCCTTCCCCTTCATAGATACATTCTATGACAGTCATTGTCTTCTCTTTCCTTCCACCTTTCCCAGTGTTGGAGCCTTCTCCAGGTCTTTGCATAATGTGCCCGAAGTAGGAACATTTGAACCTGATCATTTATGCCTCGAGTGAGAGTTCAGGGTTGATTTGTTCAATGATCCATTTGTTTGTTTTCTTGGCTGTCCAAAGTAATCTCAGGGGTCTTCTCCAACACCAAATTCAAAAGTGTCAATATCATTCCTTTTCTGCTTCTTCAAAGTCCCACTTTTGCTTCCATAAAAAGTCACACAGAATACCATGGCTTGCATTATTCTGATCTTTGTAGGTATAGGCACATCATGGCGTCTGAATATCTTTTCCAAGGCCTTCATGGCTGCTCCACCAAGTGCTAGTCTGCAGCATATTTCTTAACTGCTTGTTCCTGTACTGTTGATGGCTGATCCTAAAGGCAGAAGCTATCCACCACTTCAATAACTTCATTGCCAATTCTAAAACTGATGGTTCTACCTGTTGTCATTAGTTTGGTCTTCTTTATATTCAATTTTAGTCCCATTTTTTTCCCCTGTGTTCTTTCACTTTTAGTCCTAGGGCTTGCAGATGCTTTGCATTTTCGGCTATCAGGGTAGTGCCATCAGCATAGCACACGTTATTGGTGTTTCATCCTCCAATTTTAAAACTACACACATCTTCTTCCAGTCTAGCTTCCCTTATTATATATCCAGCATAGAGGTTGAATAAATAAGGGGAACATATACAACCTTGTCTGACTCCTTTGCAAAGTGGAACCAATCTGGTTTGCCATGTTCTGTCCATACTGTGGCTTCCTGAACTGTATATACAGTAGGTTTCTCATGAGGACAATGAGATGTTCTGGGATTCCCATTTTTCTAAGCACATTCCACAGCTTGTCACGATTGACACAATTTCTGTAATCAACAAAGCACATACTGATTTCTTTTCGGTATTCTTCAGCTTTCTCAATTATCCAGCATGCATCAGAAATAATGTATTATCTTCCTAGGTCTTTTCATAAGCCAACTTGAACATCAGGCACCTCTTCTTCCATGTAGGACTCTATATGTTGGATGATCCTAAGCATTATTTTGTTAGCAGTTAAAATTAAGGATATTGTACTGTAGTTTGCACACTCTGTTAAGTCTTTTTTTATATATATTAGAAAGTAAATTGACCTCTTCCAATCTGTTGGCCACTGTGTCATTTTCCAGATTTGCTGGCATAGGTTTAGTTAGCACCTTGACTGATTCTTCTTCTATTGCCTGCCATATTACTATCGGAAACCCATCAGTTCCTGTAGCCTTCTGACTTGGTAATGACCAGAGTGGTGATCTTACTTCATTTTCTAGTACTAGAGGTTCTTGTAAGTAGGCAGTATTGTCTAAGCTATCTTGGATATTAACATTTCTACTATATGGTATTTCAGTATACACCTTCCATATTTGTTTGATCTCCTTTGAATCACTTACTGTCCATTGGCATCTTTTAGCACATCAATTTGAGGCTGGAACCTCCTTCTAAGATCTTTTGAAAGACTTTCCTTGCTCTTCCATGTCTGTTTTCATCTTCAGTGTCTTTACAGGTGTTTTAATACTGCTTCTTGTCACTTCTAACGCTCTCTGAAACTCTTTGTTAAATTCCTTTCTGAGATTTTATCTTTCTTGGCTTTGGCTTCTCTTCTCTTCTTGACAATTTCCACATTTGTTCTGACATCCAGTTTGCTTTCTTCTCTTTCTTCATTTTTGGCAATCTCTTTTCACATTCATCCTTAACGACGTCTTTAAGTTCATTCTGTGATTCCTCTGGTGCTCTGTCAATGAGGTTCAAGATTTCAAAATGATTCCTGATGTTCTCTTGGAAAATGGTGACTATGTGCTCAAGATCATATTGTGGAAACTGGTTGGCTTTCTTCTTCTTTAACTTAACCTAGAACTTGCACATGAGCAGTTCATGATCTGTTCCACAATCAGCACCTGGCCATGTCTTTGATGCTATAATTGAGCTTCTTCATGTCCTTTTAGCAATAATATAGTCAGTTTGATTTCTCTGTACTAACTAGGATCTCTGTTTATATATATTAGAAATGGGTAAGTTCTCCACAGATTTGAGTCAGAATTGGGCCAGATATTATAAGCATAAATAAATAATTATTTATTGCAAAGTAAATTGTATAATTCTTGGTCATGGTAAACCAAGCTAAGATTAGCTACCTAAATATT